AAAAAGAAAAGAAAAAAAAAAAAAATAGTGTCTTCTATATATATATATATATATATAATACCACGAAGGAATATAATCAAAGAGGTGTGAGGATTTTATCCAAAAACCCTGTCATCATGTTTTCCATGGAGCATCACTTTAGGCATCAAATTAATATTTCATCTACTTAATTGATTTGCCAAATTAAAATAACCTAATATGCAAAATTCTTTTTTATATATAAATAATTCTCATAAATATTCCATGAGAACAACATATCTAATTTTATTAATATATAGTTTTTATACAGTTTTCCTGAAATAATTATTACTTTATTTTTACATGTAGACGGATAAAAATTATCAAGATATATATATTTTTACTTAATTTTCAAATCATGATAATTTTTTATTAAGAAAATCATTTTATTAATAAAAAAATATGTTTTATATTTAAAAAAGGAAATACATGAACAAAAAAGCTAATTTTAACTTGAGATGTTTTTGACAAAAATTCAAAAGAAAAAAACTTTTTGTCTAGACAATTTCTTAAAGAAACAAAAAAAAAATTATGTTAAATGCAAGTTGTTTTCTGCTTTGTTATGAAAATAATTTGGCCTTTATAGTAGTACGATGGATTTCATATATAAATTAAGTAAAACAACTCATGTTCACACACCAAAAACAAATTAATTAAAATAAAAACTTGCAGCGTATCGTTGACTATCCATAAGAACACATGTACAATACCACCTAGGAGTATAAAAGAGGTGTAAGAATTTTATCCAAAAACCTGGTCACTATGTTCTCCACGGAGGATCATCATTTTAGGCATCCAATATTAATGTTCCGATTACCTAAAGGAATTGATTTGCTAAATCAACGAAACCTTTCCTTACTTGTACTAAATGTATCTCTCGCCAGCCTACAAAAGCCAAGCAAGAACCTGTAATCCTTGTCTACACGTTTCATTCTTTACTTTTTGTAATTTTTCCCTTGATAAGTACATCGAGGAAGGGAGATGACAGACAGTGAGAAGCATGATCAGGATTTCCCATCAAAATTCACTGTTTACGTGGTCATATGTTGGATTCTTGCAGCTTTTGGTGGCTTCATGTTCGGTTATGATATTGGAATTTCAGGTATGCAGTCTTTAAGAAAAAAAAGAGGAGTTAAACCAAATACACTATTACATTGTAATTTTTAACAAAGAAAATAAGTAGTACTTGCAATTGCATGTATATACCACCAAGATATTGTGGTGGTCTGAGTAACATGGTTTTCAGAGCATGCCCATTACATTACCCTCTTTTTGTACTTTTCTCTTACTATGTTTATTGGATACTGGGACTCTTTATTTACTTTGTAAGAGAAATTAAAATTAAATACACTGACACTTGTAATGCAAACATTTCGATACAGTACTACAGTATTTTCCCTGTTGAGCGCACGTCCTGTGCAGTTAGTTGTTCAGAAAAATCCAGATTTCTCTCCTTTTCTGGGAATGAATTTGTTCAGTGCTGTAGTCTCTGATGAAAAGAATAAAAGCAGCTAAATCAGAGCATGATGAGTATTTTCATTCGGTTTCATTATTTTAAAAATGGAGTGGGATCCGGCATTGAATATCATAAATTCATGTGGTAGCACTACTAGAACTCTCAGTAAATAATAGCACATTTTTCAATAAAAATTGGACTCTATATTAAGGGTATTAATAAAATGATAATGGTGCCTTAGGATGATATATATACATATATATTTTACTTCTGGTTAAAGTGAAATTAAAAATTCTCCAAAAATTGCTCCCAATTCTTACGTATGACCATGTAGTTCTTTAATTCAGTGAACTTCACGTATCTTATTCAGGGTATAAATAATGGTACTGAATATTCGTATAGTTAAAGACTCTGTATATAACACTTCTGTCAACTGAAAATTTCAGTATGAAGTTAAATTCTCTTATCCTGGAAAAGGGTAAGATTGAAAGGTGATGGTCGCTCTGTTTTCAGTTCAAATCAATTGTGGGTTATGCCGATTGATCTAAAGCAATGTACATGATGATTTTGTATCGATAATCAGGTGGAGTGACAGCCATGGATGACTTTTTGATCAAATTCTTTCCTACTGTTCATGAAAGAAAGCTTCATGCCAAGGAAAACAATTACTGCAAGTATGACGATCAATATCTTCAACTTTTTACATCTTCGCTCTACCTTGCCGCCCTTGTTTCGAGCTTTGGTGCATCAAAGGCATGCACCAAATTTGGCCGAAAGCCGACAATTCTTGTTGCATCAGTATTTTTCTTGTTTGGAGCAGCCGTCAGTTCTAGTGCTCAAAACATTTGGATGCTAATCATTGGCAGGATTCTCCTTGGTTTTGGGGTAGGATTTGGCAATGAGGTATGCATATTTGAGAAATATTTTGTTTCTGAGTTCTTTCTAGTCGATAAAACTTTCTTCTCAGAATATTGTTTTGCAGCTTTATTTTAAATTGGTGCCGCATTGGGTAGGTTAATGAGAACCTTTAGCACAATACTGAAAAACTTTGCAGGCGGTTCCTCTGTTCTTATCAGAGATAGCACCTGTGGAGCGTCGGGGGGCTGTGAACATCCTGTTCCAATTCTTTGTTACAGTAGGGATATTCTTTGCAAATCTAGTCAACTATGGCACTTCGAAGATGCATCCATATGGATGGAGAGTATCCCTGGGCCTTGCTGGTGTGCCAGCTGTGTTCCTGTTTATAGGATCCATAGTCATCACCGAAACACCAACAAGCCTAATTGAACGAGGAAACGAAACTGCAGGGCAAAGCACGCTCAGGAAGATTAGAGGAGTCGACAATGTTAATTCTGAGTTCGAGCAAATTAAAGCTGCCAGTGAGATAGCCAGGCAAGTCAAGCATCCATTCAAGAAACTCATGAAGCGCTCTAGCATGCCCCCACTAATTATAGGCATCCTGTTGCAAGTCTTTCAACAGCTTACAGGAATCAATGCTATAATGTTTTATGCACCTGTCCTGTTTCAAACCGTTGGATTCAAAAATGATGCTTCACTTTTGTCAGCTGTGATAACTGGAATTGTAAATGTGCTTAGCACATTGGTCTCCATCTTTTATGTGGATAAGGTTGGGAGGAGGGTTCTGCTTCTTCAAGCCTGCGTGCAGATGTTAATAAGCCAGGTCAACATTCCTTTCTGTTTGCCTTTAATTTTATTGCCAAATCTGCTGGAGTATACTTGTATGACGTATTTTGCAGTTTATCTGTTTTGCTGAGTGAAAAGTTTCTGTGATGCAGACTGCAATTGGAGGAATTTTACTAGCTTTCTTGACACCTACAGGCTCGCTTACCAAATTACAAGCAGCTTTTGTTGTGGTGCTGGTGTGTATGTTTGTCATGTCCTTTGCATGGTCCTGGGGTCCTCTTGGCTGGCTGATACCAAGTGAAACATTTCCTCAAGAGACCAGAACTGCAGGGTTCGCTTTTGCAGTTAGCTCAAACATGCTCTTCACTTTCCTCATAGCTCAGGCATTCTTATCGATGCTGTGTAATATGCGTGCCTTTATATTTTTCTTCTTTGCTGGCTGGATTCTCAAAATGGGGTTGTTTGTGTATTTCCTGTTGCCGGAGACAAAGAATGTGCCAATAGATCTTATGGTTGAAAGAGTTTGGAAGCAGCATCCGGTCTGGAAAAGATTCATGGATTAATGGTAATCGTAATTAAGTGGTAGAAGATAAAGTCCAATGTGATAAAAAAAAAAAGTCAAATAAGGCAGTTTAAAGATTTTGGTGTGTACGTATTCTGATTATACCTGTTTGGATTTTGGAAGCTTGAAGGCGTCTCCTGGAAGGAGGCATCTTGAATTCATGTTTCTACTGAATGCAGTTTATTTTATTGAATTAATGATGTTTTTCTCTTAGTTTGGTTTTGGGAGGACAGATGATTTGTGTTGACCGAGGACCGAGGTTCTATCTCATTTGTGATTGGAATATGTATGGTACTTGAGTTTCGGAAATTACAGCTTACTTTCTTGAAAACCAGAAATTACATTTGCCTTATGCCTAGCCATCTGCTAATATATGTGCCTGCAAGAAATGTGAATTATATTAACGGTAGTATGCTTATTTGAAATTAAAACTTTGAGCAGCAAAACAACAGAGCCTTTGAGAAGCAGGTGCATCGCCCATCTCTATACACCAGAGATCAAAACTCACACCATGTTCTATCCACTGCCGATAGGGTCTATCATATGAACACAACCATGTACCAGGTTCAGAGTTCAATCCAAACAATTGATCAAAGTTTCTAACAAAATGATTATAGATCACTTTTTTGATTGCATTGACCTGCACAACATCTATCGTCCCCCGAATTCTCAGCACAACAAAGCCTCCAAATTAAGCAAGATTGATATAAAAAAACGTTGCCAAAACCGCCATTGCCAAACCAAAGCTACCAAAAGGACTTCTCAAAGCCTTCAATGACAAGGCATTACTTGAGGCCGGCCCGGCTACTTTGGCAGAAGGAACTGGCGGGGAGGGCATTGAAGAAGATGCAGGAGTTTGTGCCCTTTCATCGCTCCGTAGCACATTAATGTCAACCTTCTGTCCAGCTTGGCAATGGCCAGGGACACCACAGAAAAAGAAGTGGTGACCACGAGTCTTGATAGTGATTGAATCATTGCCAGTGGTGTAGGTTGCAATAGGGGCAGAGGTATTGCATGCTTTGTACATTGCATGTGTAACTCGCATCACATTGTGAAATTGAGCATTGTATTCGAAAACTGATACACCCATTGACAGTCAACATGTAAGTGCATGTATTGTTTTAGGTAGAACCACAATTAAAAGGACATGAAGATATAAATCCTGAGCAAAAAGCTAGGCAAAATGGCAAATATACTGTTGTGCAAGATGAATAACGAGAACTCCAAGGATCTATTGCACCAGTCGGCACTGTATATTGCTATTTAAGTATATGAAAATAAAATATGCCTTCTTTAAAAAGGGGTGAAGGGCATCTTCACTTTACTTCAAATATTAATGATCTCCATTCCATTCTCATCCACAATGCATTATTTGCCTTTCAGTTTGTACTTACAGAAACAAGAAAAATCAGGTGAATGGGTTAAAGCATAGCTTTCAACATATGCCTAAACTAAGCAAAGCCAAGAAAAAGACGGCCATTAAAGCTTTGGAATATTAGTGTTACAACCCCG